AGTCTTAGATTAAATATCCTGCAGAAGCTCCATGACAGCCCTTTAGCTTCTCATGCTGGTATTCGAAAAACTATCCAACGCGTACGCGAGGCAGTCTATTTTCCTGAACTGCAAAAGTTAACAAGGGCGTATGTCCAGTCCTGCCCAACATGTAAAGCAGTTAATTATATTAATTTCCGCCTGGCCGGGTTTCTAAATATTATTAAATCCGAATTTACAAATGAAATAATTGGCATCGATTTATTGGGCCCTTTCCCAAAAAGTCATTAAATAAAAGTCGCTATCTCCTTGTTATGGTTGATCATTTTAGTAAGTGGACCGAAATTGTTCCCTTAAAACGAGCCTCCGCGAAATTAGTTACTGATTCTATTTTAAATAAATATATTTTAAAATACGGGGCGCCCCTAAAATTTATATCGGATAATGGTCCTCAATTTGTAAGTAATGTATTTGAAGACATGTGTCAAAAACTGGGCATAAGTCATTTAAAAATGGTCCCGTATCGGCCGCAATCAAATATAGCGGAACGGGTCAATAGAAATATAGTGAAAATTATCCGTAGTTATGTTAAAAATTTTCATAAAAGCTGGGATAACTATGTCAATGAATTTGGTTTCGCCCTTAGGACCGCAAAACATGATACAACGGGCAAAACTCCTGCTGAGTTATTTTTAGGCAGAAAGATTATAACGCCGTTAGATAAATTATTTTATGTGCAACAAAGAGCCCCAGAATTTAAAATCGGTGACATAGAAAAACTAATTAAAGAAGCAAAAAAGAATACTGAAGTAGCACAGAGAAAACAAAAGCTGTATTATGACTTGAAACGATGGAGAGTAAGTTATAAAGTAGGGGATGAAGTATCAAAAATTAAGCATTCACTTTCTTCAGCACCAGAAGATAAAACTGCCAAATTTTTTCCACGATTTGAAGGACCATATGTCATAGAAAAAATAACTCACGCTGTAGTAGTGTTAAAATCCAGGAATGGTGAAACCTGCTCCGCAAACATTGATCAAATCAAACCCTACTATGATCGTAATAAAATGCAAATATTTACAGATCTTTTGCAGGATCCGGCACGGCAGACACGGCAGGCACAAGCTCCAGAGGTGGAACAACGACAAGTACAAGGGCAAACCATTAAGAGGCAGGAGCAAGTGAAAAGAAGTTTTCCCCGCGGGAAAATTAAAGGTAACAAGAAAAAGAAGCCGTTCCACCGTCCAGAAAAGAGAGCTCACGAACACCCCCAGAATGAAGAAAGGAGAAGGACGACGTATGCAAAGACAGCCAGGAGAAATGATGGCAACTATAACCCGGCTCTAAAACGGAAGATCTACTCATCCGACAGGACTCTCCGCAGCAAATGTCGCCGAACTGCGGAAGAGCCACCAGCGGCGAAGGAAAAGTTACAAGGAAAATTTGAACGGCCAGCAACGAGGTCCAAGCAGGAACGCGAAAGAAGTCTCCCGGTTCCGCCAGGACCAGCTGCCATCAAACGGCCAAGACCACAGGCAGAGGCGAAAAAGAAGGTATTCAAGGGTGACCGAACTGGAGAAAAAAGAAAGCTTCTAGAGGAAGGCTCTGAAGGGCGAGCCCGCACACGAAGGAGGATAAATGAAAAGAAAATCTACGCTACCTTCCAGGACTGGGCTCAGAAAAAATGTCCGAATATCACAAAGATAAGTAAAATTTTATGTTACTTTGCAAACTTAAGTTAATCTTTCATTCTTACTGCAAATGGCAGATTTCAGGAAGTTTTACCTCATGCGAGGTCTACCTTTATCGCCAAAAGTGCGAGAAATGAGTTGTTACCGATTTTGGTATTATGTTTTTCAATTACTCGCGCGTAAAACTAAAGTTGATGTATAATAGGAATATGTAAAGACTTAAATATTGTACAAGTTATTGTATAAATTTTTATTTAAAACATTCTGGCAAGAAAGAAGTTTTTAGTCTGAAAGACTTTTGAAATGTAGTATTTCAATGTAGAAGAATTGGCACTTGCTTTGAAAAGAATAGAAGTTAACAATGTACTACTAATGTATGTTTTCAAATGCGTAAAATTAACGGCATGTTAATATGTTCTCATATACAATGTGAACTGTTATTTTAAATGTTAAGAAATACCGTGATATGGTAAAAGTGAAAGTAATGTTAAAAATTTTTATTCGTGTGACTGTAAAAGACCAAATCATGATGAATATGTGTTAAAGGTTGAATGAATGTAGTTAGGCTCTCTGACGCTACACTTCAGAGTTAGCCACTTTCAGAATAGTACCTCAGGGTTTAGAGTTGAAGTTAGGGTGTGTTACGAGGTCTTGTAATGTTGAATTTTTAACACGTTAGTGTTTTGATTGTAGGAGGAAGTGTTGAACACGTATACATAAACACATTCGTGTTTGGTGTTCTTTTTACAACACATGTCAGAGAGCACTGGGAGAGATAATTAAAAATAGCCATGAAGAAATAAGAATGTTAAGAGAAATATAAATATGCATGTTACTTGCCATTTCATTTGTGTAACATTTCATTAAACTAGTTTTTTCCTTCCAGATCTCTGGAAGGAACCAGATTTGAATAAAAGCTCCTGTTTAGATGCAGTACAGATGAAAAATTGCGTGTCCTTGGAGCTGCTATTGTAAAACAAATTTCTTTTTTTTTTTAAATTTCTAGTCTCTAGCGAGAAATGTTTGTAAAAGATTGGCCTCGCGTTAGATTCTAGAGCTAAAAGTTTTCAACAAGGTCGTTTTAGACCTCAGTTTCAAACTAATTAACTCTGGCGGAAAGTATGTAAGGATCTTAAGTTTTACTAACGTTTATTTTGTTTTAAATCTTTACTATCACTTCTTATTTTCTACTTCCGGCCAGAATTAAAAGCGTTAACTTAGTTATGCAAAATTTGTCTGGCGAACGCCAAGTACTTAAGTTGTGGCTTTTTGCCAAGCGAGAGAGAGGAAGGAATTAGTCGAAGCAGGCCGCTTATCTTAGAAGTTTTACTCAGTTGCTGGTTGCCTTCCAGGCCAGAGGTTTAATCCTCTTGATAATTTTAAACGTATTGTAGTGTTAACAGTTCTCTGTACTACATACGGCTTCCTGTTAATATAAGGCCAATCTTCCACGTTTATTATTTCAAAGTTAAGTTAGCGTTTAGTTATATTTTTATATTCTTACGTTTAGACCACAAGTATTGGGTCTTTGTATTCGGAAGTACGGAAATTATTGTAAAGAGAGAAAAATAAAGGGTTTTGTATACCCTTCTTGTGTATCCTGTCTACTTCCCACAGTTATTGAACATAGCTTTAGTAAGCTCTCTGTTCCAAGTCATGTCCTTGCATGTTCCCAAAGAAAGTAAGACGGAACATTGAACCTGATACCATAAGTGGGAGAAATATTTGCAGAAAAATGTGCCATCAATACGTTGTTTGTTTTAAAGCAAATCCTTCTACTTCTTTTGAATTAATGGGAAATCTGCCATCAGAGGGTGTTACTGAAAATTTTGCTTTTAATGATACAGAAATTCTTATTTCTATTACCAACCCATTTCACACTTGTCTTATATGAGGGTAAAGCATAAGGCTTTACTTTGGATAATATAGTTAAAATTCTTTACGCACATATGGTATAAATGTACTTTTTTTTTGTACGTGTGCTTATTACGTGCTCTGCCATTAGGCACTACACGGAAAGGGAGGGATGCCCCGTGGAGGTCGTTTTTAAGAGAAACTGGCTCGTATCCACGTTACACATAGGGAAAACCACGAAAACGCCCATGCAGCGAGCCCGTTCGCCGGAACTCGAACCTCGGATCGAACTACCAGTATTCAGCGACGGTATAAATATATTGGAGTTGCAAAAATCCGTTCCGTCTCTCGCTTGTAGAAATGATATAATTTGGCTTCGTAATGATGTTCCAAAACCATGTGTTTGACATCTAATGAACTTTTATGTTTTTCCAAAACATCTACATCTGTGAGTTCTTTTTATCGTGTTTTAATTTGCTTAATTGGCATTAAATATTATTAGACCTTTTTTAATTTAGTCTTTAATTACCCAACAGGCTATAAATGCACAATAATGTTCCTTAAATGTACAAGAAGGTCCCTTAATGGCTGCATTTATTAACTTTGGACAAATTGACTTGCTAATATTATGTACCACTGTGCACATCTTAGTTAACCTTAATCAATTAACCGATTTTAATAAGGATTGAAATTTCAATAAAGAGTACTAAATTAAATAGGTTGATATACCTCATTCGATATAAGAAAGTTAAAATTTACTTTTTTGTAGTTATAAAAGGTGCAAAACATTACGGCTAAAGGCAACATTTTCTTAAATTTTGATCCTAAATATAAATTTCTGATAACTAAGTTCCTGTTTCCCTAAGTGGGCTCTGACCAAATAGTCTGAGTTTGGATAAATATAAATCAATAAATTCTTGTTTGGAAAAAAATCTGATTTAAAAAAAAGATAAATAAATAAAATGAAAAATAAATTCTTATCTTCGCTGAAACGATTTTCTAGGTGATCATCTAAAAACCTAAATATTAGTCACAGTGTAGAAAAAAGAGCGGTATTTTTTATCTATTTCAGAATTTCTACATGCTGAAAATTTAAAGACGTATTTTCTGGTCACTGATATAAAGACCCTAGTTAAGACTATGTTGAATCAATTACAATCTAGTTAAGATTATGTCCCGGAAGAGATGTAAACTAAAAGCCATTTTTGAGGTAATCATTGTAAATTTTGAAGGCATACATTGGGAATAAACAAAATATTTATCTACATTTTCATAGCTTTACAGTCTGTTATCCTGTTTAATATATGTCTATTTACTAATGTCTGATTTCCATTTTTTTTTTGTATGTGTAGGGAAAAAAATGATTCTTATCTATACAGATTATATTCATCTATTCTTGTTTTTAAATAAAAGAGTAATGTACAAAAATTATGCGTGTTATAATCATAATCACACTATCTAATACCACAGGAAAAATACTGAACAAAGAAATCCGCCGCAGCAGAATATTTTATTGGAATCTACAGTCTACAGATATACAGCGCAATGCACATTAAATATATTGTTTAATATGATTTTATATATATTTGTAGCTATATAATAAAAGAAATACATTTCTATAAATAGAATTCTTGTAGTTTTACATATAGGATGCAGACAAATCGGCGAATCAAAAGAATCCAACATCCAGATGTTTCAAAACGCTGAGAAGCAAAACTGCTATTGAACCAAAATGTCAAGCTAAGCAAATCCAACTAAAAAGGCCCAATAGTTTAATAATTTCATTGAGATTCATCCACGAAACGGCGTTTCCGACCTGGACCATTGGCAAAGCTGGCAGCAGATAAGCCCATTAAGTGCTTGGCTGCCTGGCTTCCAGAGAATCCTCGCGACAGTCCCAAATCAAGACCTCTTTTTTCGCTATAAAAAGAGAAATATATATTAAATCACAAGCAAGCGGTGTAGGAATGAATATAAATGTTACACACCATAATTTTATAAGAAAATAATTTAAAGAAAATATTTAATATAAATAATTATTTAATAATTAATAATAATACATTTAATTTAATATATATTTGATAATTAATAGTATTAATTTAATTTAATAATAATAATTAATTAATAATAATAATAATAAATTAATACCATAATTTTAAAGAAAATATTTCCTACAATTTCAAGTTAAACGAACAAAAGGTAATCTCTAAATGAAAATGATTTAAGAATAAAAGCTTTTATACAGCAATTTCATTAATTCCTCGTTTCGCGTATAAACATATTTTAAAACAATAACATGCTAAATATAGATGGCATAATTAATGAAAGAAAACACAGAATAATTTTGTACATTAGTTTTATTTTCTTTGAATTCATCCTAAAGCTATGCATTTTTACAATGAGATTAAAATTTTTCACTAATACATACGCAGGCATACATATGCATAACTCAAAAAGGAAATGAGTCAAAAACTTAAATACATAAGCGGACTTTAAAGGTAATAATATAACGCTATCTCTGCTAAGACTGTAAATTTAAATTCAATAAATAATTCGATCATTTCCAGTCATTGCAGATTTTATAGAATAAGGATAATTCTTCTTTGTAAGTCAGCCTTCTTCCATGAGATCAGCAACAATTAGCTCTTTTAATTTTATTGTGATTTACATTTTTTTTTATTTTTTGTTTTTGCTGTTTGCATTTTTGTGTAAGTTTTTGACGATTTGCATTACAATTTTAAACTTCTTATAAGTCCATTACATGTTTTTAATTGTTTTATCGAAATCATCCCCAAAATTCAATTAACAACAATTTTTACTCTTCATTTAATAGGAGATAATAATCAATAAAAAATATTAATTGAATTTAAATAAATCATGTTAAGTATATAGTATTCGGAGCTTACTAATTGACCAAATTTAAAGTTTCAAACACTCTGTCCTTGGCAAATTCTGTTTCAAACGTTAAACAAAGGGAGATTAATACTATTTTTTCTCCAACTCCTTGTCAGTCTCTTGGCAAAGTTTCAAGTGTACTTTCACTGTTGCTTTTATAAATTTACTTATCAGTTTTAATACATGTTTAAGTTGTTACGATTCATATTCTTCAGTACAAATAGGATTTATTATATTACTTCACCACCCTTTTCCTTAGATTCCCTTTCACACATGAACCTGATTTTATTTATCTTTATCTTCCTTCCCCTCGAAATTGATAATTGATTATTTATATATATATATATATATATATATATAATCAATAATACATAATCATAAATCAGTATCATAAAATTGTTTTAAGCAGAAATATCTCAATATTCCGCACAATATGCTGCTGAAAATACTTTGCAACAATTGCGCAAGTAGTAGAATAACTCGATTTCGCACTAAGTGAATTTAAGATCATACAACCTATATATATATATATATAATTTTTAAATAAATATATCTTTCTTAAATATATATATAATTTTTAAATACAATTTGAAGAATTTTTCCATTAGAAGAAAAAGATTATAATCGTAAATGTAAAATTCTTTAAATTGAATTTAAAAATTATATATATATATATATTTTTTAAGAAGTAAATAAAATATTTATCTCTTAGTGTATATAATATTATATATACTTTAAGAAAGTTCATAAACAGAAAACTCCTGAGCAAAAATAATAATTAAAATGTTTTTAACAAAAACATAAACAATAATGGGAGCAAATATTTGTAAAAAGATGTATTATTATCTGTTTAGAGAACAAAAAATACGAAAACTTAGTTGAGTTGCATCGTAATGGACAAATATCTAGCCTATCTTACGGCAGCCTTGTAAGTTTTTATAATGTCTATTATAAAAAGCAGTTTCCATTCTGATAACCTATATGATGAAAAGAAAGGAAGAATACCTATCTATAAGGCTTAGTTCTCTGTTATGTATATAAAATTATGATGCATGTCAATTTTTTTTATATTTAACTTTCTCCTTTATGCAAGTATTACATGGCGAATTAAATACTTTCCATGTGATTTGTATAATCATTCATTGCGTTATGATAAAACATTATTTTTTATTGTGCACATTCCCAAAGTATTTTATGTTTTGAACATTTATGTGATAAATATTACTAACTGTAAATGAACAAAATATGTAACATGGTGAAACAAAACAAAAGTCTTTAATTTTTTGATAATTTTAGTGTGACATCATTATTTTCATTCTACTAAATCTGCTTTTTAAAAATTAAATATCTTTGGAAATAAATGAAAACCTATGTAAGCTTAAAAATACATAACACTTTCAAGACCTTAGCTCTACTTCTGACCACAATTTTCATAAATTTGTCAAAACACTACTCTTCGTTAAGCGAAATAACTTAAAAAGCACACAAGTTACTTAAAACCTTAGATTGCAGCACCAGTCGCCGAGCAGTTAAAAATTATTGATTCTCATGCTTCATCTCGTCTTCGATTTCAGTCAATCACATTGGCTATATAGTTGATTTTCAAGGTTTTTCGCATGTGTAACGTGCGGAATAAATTTAATTTAGGTTATCCTTTACCTTATACAAATGTTCTCGCTAAAAGGAATATTTGTATTTCCTTTTGGCAAATTTCCTTCGATTGATTTGCTATATTCAGATAATCTAACCTAAACATTTTGAACTAATTCGCATAGTTATTTCGAAGAAAGGAAAGCATGGATTTTCCAGATACGTTGAATGACTTATCACATTGTAAAGTGTTTTCGTAAAATATTTCCTTATCGTTAAAGAAAAAACAGTTCACTGAAATTTAAATACACTTCACTAACGTTTGCGATTAAGTTACCAATCAAACGTACTGCAATTCACGATCAAATCGAGGAACTAGTAATTATTAATTTACTAAAGAAACCAATTCATATTTATTCCATAGTCATAGTTATTTCATAGTTATTCTATAGTCACATTCCATAGTCAATATTTTTAATGACAAAACAATTCTTGTTTTTTAGTGATAAAAATTTCTTTAACAACCAGTTTTGCCTTCTTTATAGAATTATATATAATAACCTTTTTATAAATTTAGAAGTTCATATCTATGTTTCTTTCATTTGCTGCATGCTTTACGTTATCATTACTTTGTCTTTTAAATTATGTACTTAAAATATTTTATCAATATTTTTTATAATTAAATAAATGTATAAGAGCGCCAAAAATCATCTTTGCTATTTACGATTATATGCTCGCAAGGTTGGTTTTCATAAATTAAAAGCAATCAAGCAATAGATAAATTTCGTAAAGTTTTATATTTGATTGTCTTGCTTACTTCGTAAAACTGTGTGAACATGCATTTGCAGATCCATTTCTTTCACATATCTGTATTAAGTTGAGACGAAATCTAATAATGCGCATTCACCTTGCAAAGCAAATAATACGAAATTGATTTCTTGAGCTACATGTTAATGCTTTCCTATTTAGTTGCATCAGATATAAGCGAAAGCAAAATAATGTATAATAGTTCAGAAGTAGCTTATCTTACATCTAACATTCATGGCATCTCTCACCATCCATTGTTAAAGAAGTAGCCACTGAAAGGTTTGTTCTTAATACGCTCCTATTTACTGCTTTTCTCAGCCTATCTTAACCATGCATTTGGCCATTTATATTCAGAATACCACCAAACTGTAAGGAGAAATCGGGAAGAGTATCCAGTCCCAATCATTTGAGGAATAAATTACGCCATTAAGACCTCCTTACTCAGATATGGAATCTTAAGGATGCCAATTCATGTTTCGGTAGAACTTTCGTTAATTACATCTCCATAGGCATGCGTTCTCTCTCCGTTTGTTAAGTGATTAATTTGATTTAAGAAAATAAACGAATCTATATGTAAATAAGTGAATTATCTTTTAGCATAAAGAGATTAATGAAATAAAACTAGATTTGTTAATTTAAATGATTGTATTTTAGAAACTGATTCGACTGGCGTACAGCTCTTTTAAAATTAAGCTATCAGAATTATGATTAAAAGAAGATTAAAATATAAATTATTATATATTACGTAACACAGTAATCAGAACTTACCCTTACAACTTTTAGTTCATCAAGTAAATATATTCAATTGTTTAAATAATTAATGAATCAAAGATTTTAAATAATTGAAACTATATGCTACATAAAGGACTAATTTGGTAAAATTACTGAGAAGAGATTTTGAGAATTTATCAAAAACAATTATTTATGTATGGAAAATCCTTAAGTGAGTCCTCAAAAATACTTTTTGGTTTGGTTTACCTGATTACGGGAAAGCACTCGAGGGCTATCTTCCTAGGGTAAAGGATGCTTTCATGAAGGACTTTCTAAGCGAAACTGACGTATACACGTTTCACATGGGAAACCCACGAAAACGCCAACGCAGCCATCCCGTTCACAGCATTCGAACATAATTACCAGTGTTCAGATATTTAACCGCTCGGCCGCTGGTGGGCCTTCAAAAGTAGGAGATTTGAAAGAGCTAACGAGCATCTGTTTTGCTTGTTACTAATACAAATGTATGAGCCGCCCAACCGGGATAGTGGTTAGCGACTCTGACTGCCGTATCGAAGGGTCCAGGTTCGAATCCCGAAGAAGACATGGATGTTTGTACATGTATGTTGTCCATGTGGAATGGAGACCACTTTAAATAGGCGACAAGCCAAAAGTCCTCTAGAGAAGTTGGTGGTAGAGGAAGAGGGGTTGGAGACCTTTGACCCGTCTTGCCCCCCCCCTCGGGGTACTCTCTATCAAAACTGGGGGTGGAACTGAGCAAAGTCGTACTGTTACCTATATGGTGGTCAAGGCTCTTGCCGACGATAGCCACAATCTTGACCCATTGCTACCATGAATTTCGTGGGCTCTCTCTAGTATCAGAGATCTGATCTGACGTTACTGACGATCGGGTGGAA